TTAAGCTTTAATAGCTTCTTTACTAGCTTAGCGATTATATTAGTCCTTAGTAAATATAAGACTAAGCGAATAATTAATCGACCGATTTAGCTTATAAGATACTAGCGCCCCTTTTATTAAGCTCGCTATATTTATAAAGCTCGCTATCTCTAAAAAGTTTGCTGCCTTTATAACTAACTTTACTACTTCTATAATACTTATCTTCGCCTAAGTAAAGCTTTCCTTATCCTCTATAATAAAGCTCGCCGCCTCTTAGACTAAGCCTAGTATAATAAACGTTAATAGTATTCCCTAAGCCGCCGCTAACGCTAATATATTAAATACTAACTCCCTTATCCCGGCCGCCCTTAAAACTTCTTCCTCTTTTACTAAGATAATCTCGAGACTCCCGCCCCTTAAGTTCTTATATATTTAGTTATCTAGGCAGTTTATAGATTAATAACTCTACCTACTTAGTTTTAATCCTTTCTTAAGATAGATATATTTAGCTTAAAAGGTAAAAGGGAGGTAGTAAGATAGAAGAACTATTTAGAATATAGCTAGAATTCTATTCCTACCTTTAAGTATCTACCCTTATTTTAATAGGCGTAATTAATATCCCTTTTAATCTCTATCTAAGGGTATATACTTTTAATATTAAGTAATTATTTCTTTAGTAAAATATAGTATGCTCTACTTATATAGAAGTTTATCTATTTAGTCCTTCTTATAAAGGGATATATTACTTAGGAAAAATAAAGGTTTATAAACTTTTATATAAAAAAGGAAATAATTAAAATATATATTTATATATTAATAGTAACTATACTATTACTACTTATTATAAAATATTATAGTATTTATAGTAATATTTATATTAATCTAAATAATAGTATATAAATAAAATATACTAAAATTCTTTACTTTCCTTACTTTTAAGCTAACTCTCTAAGGTAGTAATAGGTTAGGAAAAACGCCTTAAATACCTTCTATAGATTTAAATATCTACTTAGCTAACTTAAACTAAAAAGCTTTCTATTAATAGTATCTAGAATAACGCTAGGGCTTCTTATTATAAAGGACTTAAAAGAAACTAATAAAGTATATTCTTATACTCCTTAGTATACCTCTTAAAGTTTAAAAGGATTCTCTTAAAAATAGATTAAGGAAAGTTATTAGTCTCTTATTATAGTTATATAGGTCTAGGAAGGATTACCTAACTCCTTTTCTTCCCTTTACCTTACTTTATATAGCTATAAATCTCGCGTACTATTAAGATCTTTAAGGGCCTAGTTAAAATTCGTTGTTAAGAAATTACCTAAAATACCTAACGATAGATATTAGTCTTAAGCTATATACTAAAAAGTCTCTTATTTATTTAGTTAGTTTAATTAATTAGCTTAAATTATTAAAAGCTTAGTACTTATATAAATAGTCTTCTTATTAACGCGATTTATTATAAAGGCTTAGTTTAAAGACTAAAAGTAAACTAATAAAATAGTTTATAATATAAGAAAATATTTAAGCTATAAAGGGATTCTAGAAATCTAGTAAGGAGTTAACTTAGAAATATATAAAGAAGTAAATAAAGTAAGACTTACTCTTTCTACTACTCTAAAAGAACGCTTTTTACTACTTAAACTACTAAGGTTAAGTATACTTTAAGTACCTATAGCTTAGAAAATATTAACTAAATAGTTATACTAAAGTATTTTTAAAAGCACTAAAATACTAATGCTTTTTAGTTCTATAATAATTAGTATATAAGAGTAATTAAGGTTAAGAAGATTAAAATACCTTTTAGTTTTATTTAAGTACTTCTTTAATTCCTTAAAAAGGTTACTTATTACCGAACTAAGCGCTAAACTTAAGCGACTTATCGCCTTTATTAAGAAGAAATATAATCTTATTAATTTATTAGGCTTTATTCTCTATCTTAGCGTCGATATCCTTTTAGTTAGTACCCTCTTTAGTAAGAGCGTACTTATTAAGGGTTATATTGCCCTATAATATTAATAGGTAAAGTATTTTTTTAACTTAGTCTAAATATTAGCTAAGTAGAAAACTAAATTATTTTTAATTAGTATAAAGATTAATTTATTTCCTATAGTTATTACTTAATACTTACTACTTAATTTTAATTTTATAAGAGTCTTTAGTAATTATAGTAGCTTTTTCTTCTTTACTTATATTTATCTAGGTTATAGAGGACTAGACTTTCTTTTTTAATTATATAATTCTCGTAAAGAGAGATGCGAGAAGTGCATAAAAATGCACGAAGGTAAAATTAAAAGTAAGGGGTCGGATAGGCAGGGCAGAGGGATTTAATTCTTACGGGGGCAGCAATAAAGGTAGGGGAGTGATTGTTATATTGCCTTAATTGTCCTTCTTTCCTCTATCTAACGCCCCTCTTTATACCCGTCTAGCATCTCAATTAACAAAGAAGATCCTGCTTAAAGAAGCTACTAATGTCCTTTTAACTACCGAGCTTTTTACCGGTTTTTCCTTTCCTTTCTAGCCGTTGCCGGCATATCCGTCTTATCTCTCGCCACCTCTATAGGAAGCCATCGCTACTTCTACTTCCCCTTATGCCCCCACCCTCCTTTCTACACCTCTTTTTAGCTCCTTCTTCCTTCTTCTATACCGGGTGTTTTTTAGCTTCCTTGGTCCCTCGTGCTAAGGGATATCTCCGAGAACTACGAAATCAGGCCACGCTTCGCGACACACCCCCTTAGCTATGGCCTGCCCCTTAAGGGCATAGCTAATACGGCTTCGGGCTAGTGAGCGTATAGAGGAGGTCTTAGTCTATACTTCTCCCCTACTCGAGAAATCCGGGTTTTGGCCCCGGGCTCTTTTAGACCTACTTTAGGAAAAGGGGCCTAAGGAGGAAATCAAGTCCTGCAAGAAAGGGGGTCTTCTCTAAGGATAAGTCCTAAAAGGGGCCTTTAAGAAGAATAAGTCCTAATTAAGCTAGGGCCTCCTTTAGGACAAGTCCTAATTCCTCTCTTCGGCTATAGACGTCTCCTTCCTCCTACGTGCTATTAGCTCCTCTCGTAGACTCTTAAGGCGGGCTTCTAAGGATAGCTTCTCTCGAACGTCTTCTAGCCTAATTTACTATAAAAAGACAGCTAGCTTCTACTTCGGTAGGGGCTTCGTAAGACCGTCGGCTTTTATTGATGCCGTTAGAACCTAACGGACGGAAATAAGTCCCCTTTAGACCTCTTAGCGTAACCAATGCTAGTAGATATCGATATACCGTAGCCGGGTCGATAACTTACTGTTTTCCGTAAGAATTCGTATAGTTTGCGTGTTATCGTATTCTATAGCTAATAGGGTCGGAATTTACAGTCGTAGAGATATTAATAGCCGGCTAAGGAAAATCGCTTCTTTTAACGCTTCTAAAAGAGCTAGTAGCTCTGCCTCCGTACTAGAAGTCGTAACGGTGGCCTGCTTCGAAGCTCTCTAAGCAATAGTTCCTCTAAAAAGGGATATAATATACCCTTATAAGCTTTTTCTATCTAAGGAATTATCCGTAAAGGACGAATCGCTCGAATAAAGGAAGATTTCGGCAGCTTATTTCCTTCCCTGCCCTCCTAGGCGCAGACTATATAATCTCATTAAATAGAGATAAAGGATAGCTCTATCTACTGCTTCTTAATGCCTAGGGCTAGGATTCTAGTTATGCCTAGCTAGCTAGGAGACCGTAAAAGAGATATCCGGTCTAGTAGAAATAGCTAAAAAAAGCAGGGAGCCCACCTTCTATTAATATTAGTGTTTCTCTTACTCCCTAGCTTAAAAGGACGGATCAGGCAAAAGCTCTTCGTCTAATATAGGCGTAGAGGGAAGCTTCTTATCGAGGGAATTAGGGAGGAATTTATAAGCGACCTTATCGATATAGGCGTCTTAGGTAAGCTAGATTATCCGTTAGGACCTATTCCTAAGGATTCGTATCCCTAGGAACCACTTTAGCTCCCCTAGCCTAGTTATCTTATACCTTTATTATAGGCCTCGTATAGCCTCCCTAGCAGCAGCTTCTTCCTCTTTCGGGTAGGCCTAGATAATATCGTCGACGTAGAAGAAGACCGTGATTTTACCCTTCTGCATTATATACGGTTCCTAAGGGACTTTCGTGAAGCCTAGGGCTTCGAGGGAACCTATTAAATGCTATTGCTAAAGAAGGGGTGATCTTCGTAGTCCGTATAGAGCTTTCCTAAGCCGTAGAACCTTTCCTAGCTATTAGAAGCCTAGTAGAAGGCGTATATAGACAACTTCTTCTTCCTTAAGTAGGCAGTTAATAAAGGCGTTAACTATATCTATCTAATCGAGCTCGAGGTCGAATTCTGCTACTATAGCCATAAGGGTCCGAAAAGACATCCTAGCTAGGGTGGTTGCCCTAGTAGGTAAATCCCCTTTTTCCTATTAATTCCTATAGATAACTAGCCGGGCCTTATACTTTTAAAGGAAGCCGTGTTTATTAGTCTTATAGATAAAGACCTACTTATAGCTAAGGACCTGTTTTCCTCTTGCTTTTTCCTTAAGGACCTCTTCGAAAGACCCTATCTCTTCGTATAAGGCTAGGTAGTCTTTCTAGGCCTAGAAAAACTAGTCTCTAAAGGGGTGTTTTTCTAGCTGCTTCTGGTTTGCTAGTGGGTCCGGGAGGTCTCTTTTATATACCTTCCTTGCTAATACTAGCTTAAAAAGCCGGCCTGCTATGAACGCTCCGTGGGAACCGTCTTCTATTAGCGTTAGGTAGAAGTCGGAAAAACGATCGAAATAGGGGAGAAACTAGTCTTCTTTCGTATCGGGCCCTATACCTTCCTTTGCTTCTCGAAGCAGGGATAAAAAGGCAGCCGGGTAATCCTTCGAGAGAGGTGCCTTTCCTACCCCCTTAGGGGCCGAGACGGGAAGACTAACTAAAAAAGCTGCTTCTAGATCTTCTTCTTACGTAGGAGGAGGCGTAGGTAGGTAGGCGTATTCTAGCTCTACCGCTTTCCTATAGTCTCCTTCTTCGTCTAGATCATCTAATCTAGCAGCTTCCTCTTCTTCTTTTTCCTCGAAGTCGGCGTTATCCTCTACTACTTCGACGTCGGTTTCTTCTTCCGTTTCCTCGTCTAGGACCTCTTCTTAAGACTATTAGGAAGGGGGGATTTAAATCTTCTAAATTAGCTAACGTTAAGAGAGTAAGAGGGGCTATTAATCCCTCTTTCCGTCGAAGAAGCTAGATTCGTTGAAAATCACATCCCTAGTCGAAATAACCTTCCATAGAAGAGGAATCTAGATCCGGAAGATATTCGTAGAATTATAACTAATAAGGTAACTAATAAAGGCTCTTAGATTAAGCTTTCTTTTCTTCTTCCTTTTTAGCTATGCATCGGCAGTCATTGCGTATACCTTATAGCCGTAGGCACGAAGGTGGGCTAGCGAGGCCCTCTTCTTCGTAAAGAGCTCGAGGGGGGATTTCTAGTCTATTCCTTAGGTAGTCCCTCTAGGGGTCCGGTTCCGAAGGTAATAGGCGGTCTCAACGACTTCCCTCTAAAGGTCGTGTGGAAGCCTTACAGTAAGTCTTATCGTACGGGCCCTTTCTATTATAGCACCCCCTGATCTTTCTGCCCCTCCGTTCTAGGCCTAGGTATTCGGTGCTAACGGGAGGGGTAAAATGCCCCTTTTTCGAAGCTAATTTAAGATATCCTTCGTAAATAGCTCTCCGTTAGACCGTATCTTCTTTACCTCGTAGCTAAAGTAGGATTTCATCTAGTTAACGAAGTCCCGGAGGGCAGACTAGTTATGCTTGCTTAGGTAGGTCTATAAGAAATAAGGGAAAACTATCCCTAAAAAAGCGTCTATGAAAAACATTACCCTAACGAAGCTTTCCTAGTCCCTAGAGACGTCGGTCTAATCGACCTAAATTTCCTTACACGGCTAGTCCGGCCGTAAAGGCGTTCGTCTAGAAATTCGTCTCCTAGTCTTTCCTTAGCCGCAGTGTTCGCATTCGACGGTCTTTGGTCCCCTTATTCGTACGCCCTATTATTGTCCTAGCTTATATAAAGCTAAGGGGCCCGGGTGACTAAGTCGTGCGTGCTAAAGATTGCCGTCTCCTTAGGCTGCTAGAAGAGGGTCCTTAGATCCTACCCTCCTAGCAGGGAAAGCTAACTTCTCGAGAGATTCCTTCCTAAGGATAGGTTGGAATTCGAGAATAAATTAACCGAATTTTTCCTCGATAAGCCTAATAGTCTGATTCTTCTAGACTAGCCTCGTAGGCTTAGACGTCGTATCCTAGAAGATTCCTTCCTTTCGAAGAAGGCGGAAGGAAATCAGGCTCGTTAAAAATCGAGGGCAAAAAGCTACCCTTTTTCTTCGAAGAATTTATATAGATCTATTAGGTAATTTTATCGTGAAATTCACCCTTCTATATCCTTCTATCCGTACGGTTGATTCCCCGGCAATAAGGTATTCCCTCCGTGCCTTCTTAAAGGACCGGAATCGTAAGAGTGTATTGCAGATGTCGAGGGAAGCACCGGAGTCAAGGATAGCTGATTTTCGTAGGGGATAATCGGAGGGTCCTAACGGTTGGTCTTGCTAATCCGTAGGGAAGACGAATGCTAGATTTGCTATACTAACGATTTTTCCTCGAATTTGCGGCTCGAATAAGGGCAGCGGCGTTATTAGTTGCTATTTCTTAGCAACCCGAATCTCGTCTATCTTCTTCTACAACGAGGGATCCTCCTTAAGAGACTATTATATCGTTTCTTATAGCCTCTTTAAAGGGTTAAATCCTTCGGGTCGGTTTTCCTTAAAGACCTACTAGCATTGTAATAATCGATGGCCTAGGGATTTGCAGGCTAGGCAGCCGTTTCGTCGTCTAGTCTTCTGTTTCTTCGAGGAATCCTCGTCCCGATCCGGAAGGTCTGCTTAAAAACCCCCCCTTTTTACCCCTTGTTGCTGATTTTGACGAAGAGGTTCGATTTCGACTAGTTCCCTGATTTTTCGACTAACGGACTGAAAGGTCTATTAGGGGACTAGTCGGGCCGGTCTGACTAACGGGACCGGGGCCGGGCCCGGAGCAAGAGGCGGAGCCGGGGCCGGGCCTAGGGCAGCCGTTGATAACGGTGTTAATGCTCTCGAGGGAGGAGGAGCCGAAGGAGCAACAGCCGCAGCAGCAGCAGCGGGAGCCGCAGCAACAGGGGCTGCAGCAGCTGCAGGGGCAGCAGGTCGAGCCGTCTAGGTCGAGTGCTGGCCACGAAGGAATAAGACTGCTTGCTGTTGTACTCTAGCAGCCTCTTCGTCTAGTTCCCGGCTAGCCTCTCGAAAGATAGTCGAGTAACCGTTACTGTTGCGATTGAACTTGCTTCTATTCAATTCTGTCTGACAGCTCTCAACATACATATATACATAGTGGCACGTCCGTGCCACTATCCAGTGACTCACCACTTGTAACTGCTGCCTAAACATGTCTTGGTCCATGTCTCATATCAAGTCAACACTCCCCTAGAGCTGTCAGACTTCAACTGCAACGCTATTCATAGCGTATGGGTCCAATTCCAATCCTCCACCTGTTCCTCTCGAAAGCATCCCTAGGCAGAGGCTTGGTCATCCCATCTGCTAGCATATTCTCCCTGGAACCCAGTAGACTTGAATTCTCCTTCCTTGACCTCATCAACGACGTGATGAAATGCTATATCAACATGCTTGATTTTCGACGTGTTCGATACTCCTCGGGTCAGCTGTACAGCCCTTATTATCTCCAAGCAGTAGTGGCACTGTTTGCTCCCCTTTCCTTCCAGCTCTGCAAGTAGTCGACGTCCCCAGAGAGCAGCTTTGTGGCCTCCCCATCCCAACATACTCTGCTTCTGTCGTAGATCTTGCCACTGATTTCATCTTCTTGCTATACGTCATGACGGCGCCTCCGTAGACCATAAAGATGAACCCCAGGATACTCTTCCGGTCCCTTGGATCAGTAGCGTAGTCGGTGTCAGAGAACGCTTCCCCATCTTGTAGGCCTGCAGAGCCGACGTGCCCTTCGATGTTGTGGTCAATGGAATAATAGTCGATATCGCTGCCTTCGACTCCTTGAGCGTGCTCATTATTTCCGCCATATGTGATACCGTGGTGAATAGTCCTGCCGACATAACCCAATATTCGTAGCAAAGCCTTCCAGTGGTTCCAGCATGCCTCTACCGTGAAAGATGCCATTCTGTTAACTGCGAATATAGTGTCGAACCTCGTATTGCATAGCCAAATCAGCTTTCCGAGCAATTCCACGTATTTCAACCATTCGTCATGGTTCAGAGGCCGTCCGGTTCCTCAACGAGCTTCCGTATAGCTCCAGGTTCCATGGGGTTGCGTGCTTCATTGAGTCGTCGTAGAGAAATTCTGCCACGATTTCTTCGCAAATTGTGATTGACCAATCATCAGCTTTCCTTTGTGCCTTTGAATCCGAATTCCGAGAATGTTCTCTGCTTCTCCGAGGTCTTTCATCTCAAATCTTCCTTCAGCTTTTCCTTGACCAGTTCAATGGCATCCTCGTCCCCTGTAATCATAAAGTCATCCACGTGCACGCCGATGATTACCCCGACTCTGTATGTCTGAATATTGTCGGGTCCACTGTCATCGGTGAGAAACCAATCTCCTTGAGATATTCTGATATTAGCAAATACCACATCCTTGCAGCTTGCTTCAATCCGTACAAACTCTTCAGGATCTGAACGTATTTCCCGAAATATTGCTGGAGCTCAGTTGGCACTTTCATGAAGATCCTTTCCTTTAGGTCTGCTGCAAGGAACGCAGCCACAGCATCCATCTGGTATACCTTCCAGCCTTTCTTCGCCGCTAAAGCTAGAATGATCCTCATCGCATCGAGCCGGATCGTGGGTGCGAAGGTTTCCTCGTAATTGATCCCGTGTTTCTGTGTGAACCACGAATCTGGGATCTTGTTTTCGGCAGACTCCTTTCAGCAGAGGTTATATCCGCTCCCTGTATTGACAACGATTGTGTCTCCTTGGAGCTCTTCCTCCGAATCTGCAGTGTCTTGGTCGGTCGGGTTCCCATCCGCTGCTTCTCCGGCATCCTCCCCAGCTTCTGTAGCTTCCTGGTCCATGGTCCTATCCCTGACCGAATCTTCGGCATCAGAGTCATCATCAGTGAGCTCCCCTTGCTCCTTTTTCTCTTCCTTCTCATCGTCATACTGCGATTGTGATTCTTGGCTGATTTCATTGTCCATATACTTGCTCTCATCGAATTCCACGAATCGAACCTCGTGGACCTTCTTATCAGCTGGGTTCCAGACTAGATAGATTTTATCTGTCTCCTCTTTGTATCCAACAAAACTCCTTGCCATGCTCTTTCAGAAGCTTTGTTCTCTTTTCTTTGGGAATAAATACCCAGGCAGGACATCCGAACACTCTCAAGTGCCCTGATCTTGGCTTCTCTCCACGCCATAACTCCCATGGGCTTTTAGCCATTCCCTTGACAACTCCCTATTTCTCAGATAGGCCGCTGTTGCGTTCGAAAACTCCCAGTATGCTGCAGGGAGGTCCATTTCGTGGCGCATAGCAGACCCCTCTCTGATATGGTTCTCATGCCTCTCAGAGATACTATTCCCTCCGGGTGGTAGCCCACTGTTGGTCTGATCCGAATAGCTCTCCCGTGCAAAATACCTTCATTGCCTCGTTTAGAAACTCCTTCCCGCGATCAAAGCGCATCGCCTTGACCTTTTCGCCTTTTCCGTACTCGCGACACTCTGCCTCTGCAACAACTACCCAGGCTTTGATCTTGTCGGTAATTCTCGTTTTGTCTCTAGAGAAATAAACCCAAACTCGCCCGGTAGCCTGATCGGTGATTGTCAGCATGTACTTCATTCCTTGAAGTGATAGCTCAACTGGCCCCCAAAGATCTATATGGACTCTCTCTAGCTTTTCTGTCACCGCAGACATTGGCTCCCTTGAGACCTTTCTTGTCATTTTGGCCTCGGTGCAGCTTGAGCAGAATGACGGGCAGAATGAGTTGTCTCCGAGATCATCCATTACGGCGTTCAGTTTGCCCTCCATATGCTTTCCAGGGTGTCCCAGCCTAGCATGTAGTAGTCTTTCAGGCATCTTCAGGATTGACTTCAGCGCTACCCCGTTATCGCCATCCTTTCTTGGATTGTATGGGCTCGGTGCCCTCTTGTCTGGCTCAAGCGCCACACCTTTTTATGTCTGTGGCCAAACAGCACCTCCTCCTGATTTCTTGTCACCGTGACTGTCTTCCCCGGAGAGTCCACGACAATACATGCTCCCCTGTCTTCCAGTTCACCGACTGATAGCAGGCTGCTCGTCGCCTCCGGGATGTAGTGCACCCCATGTACTATTGTCGACTTTGCTCTTCCTTTCTGTGAGATGTAAAAGATCCTCACATCTCCTTTCCCTCTTGAACGAACCTCGGAGCCGTCTGCAATCTCAACACTTGTCTTTGTAGGGGACAACTTTGAGATAAATTGGTCTTCCCTTGGGGTGATATGGACGGAAGCACAGCTGTCGAGATACCATTGTGGAGGGCTGTTTCCTTTGTGTTCGAAGCAAGTAGGTAGATCTCTCAGATTCACTACCACTGTCTTCAAGGATCCTGACCGCGTTTGCCTTTTCTTTGCTATCCATGGCCTCTCTCGCCTTCGCTTTTTCAGAGGCTAGCCAGGTCTTCCCTGCTTTGGTTTGGTGCCAAATTGCACAATCATGCTTGAAATGCATACCGCCACAAGACCAGCACCCCCCTGCCTTCTTCAGATACTCCTCCTTGCTATCATCGCCACCATCCTGTGCTTTGGACCTGTTGTTCCCTTTGTTCCATGCACTGCGGCCACGACCTGCGAATTGTGCGGTTTCTCCCTTGATTGTCGTATCGACGAGCTCCAACTCTTTGCTTTCCAGAGAGCTCTGCACCTTTTCCATTGTCAACGTCTCTGTCGAGGCGTTCAAGATCTCGACCGTAGTGTTAAAAGCGTCGTCCATGCTCATTTGCAAGAAGCAAATCAATAGCTGTTCATGGATAACAATGTCCTTGTCTTGGCTATTAATCTGAGCTCGAAGTCGCTTTAGGTCGTCGACCTTCTCCTGCACAGTTCTATTCGTCTGCGTACTAACGTCGTATAGCATTCGCATCAGCTGTCGAAGGCGCGCTTTGTTCGATGTCGCATATCGCTTAACGAGGGATTGATAAATTGCTCGTGGATCGGTGAGATGGTTGACTGAGTTCTTGTGGATCTGGTCAATACTCTGTCGTATTTTCATTCTCGCAAGAGAGACATTTTTAATGTCCGCAGCATTCTCTCCTGGCGTTGATAAATCTGACGATTCCGCTGTTGCCTTACCGGTGACGCAGCTCATAAGATCGTCACTCAACAAGTTATCTTCAAGATCCATCTTCCAGCTGTCAAAGGAGTCTCTTCCATCAAGGATGGTTCCTTTGTAGTCTTTCTTGCCCATAGTGCCGGGTCTTTGCTGTCAACCGTCGATTCTTGACGAAAAAGTGTTCTCATATGCCGAGTTCAATCGTGCAGTGGAAGGATAATAAAAGCAACCGGGCTCATAACCTGTTGCGATTGAACTTGCTTCTATTCAATTCTGTCTGACAGCTCTCAACATACATATATACATAGTGGCACGTCCGTGCCACTATCCAGTGACTCACCACTTGTAACTGCTGCCTAAACATGTCTTGGTCCATGTCTCATATCAAGTCAACAGTTACTAATAGGCTTTATTAGCAGAGATATATCCCGTAGCCACTAGCCGGAAAGAGCTTCTATGAGGAAGTATTAGTTAGCTTCCTCGAGGATTTCTTCCTACTTAGCTAGCCACGAAGAAGCTAGCAGGTTCCTAGCAGAAAAGGCTCCTAGATATGCCGTATAGGTCTTCCTAATACGGTTAGTTATATACCCTCTCGAGGGAGCTATCGAGGTCTCGAGCTTTAAAAGCCACTGCCTAGGAGTCTCTTCTTCTCGAAGAGTGATTAGCTTTGCGGCACTAACGGATTCCGTTATCGCCGTACGAGCAGCCGTTAATAGCTTCGTTTCGTAGAGGTATTCCTTCCGGTGACTCTCGTAGTCGCCTAAGGCAGCAGAAAAAGCTCTCTGTTATGTAGAGGTTAGCTCGGAGAAGAGGGTAGCTCCCTCTATAAAGTCCGTCGCCCTAGGACGAAGAGGGGGCTCGAGAGGGTCCTGCTTATTAGAAAAGACTAAATTATAGATGGTTCTATCTACCCGAGCCCGTAGCTCCTTTACCTACTTATCCTAATCTTAGGGCTCTATAAGAATCGTCCTACGGACCGTAGGGACGGTAGAGGAGTCGATTTTCGTTATTATTGCGGGGAAAGGTAGAAAAGTCGGTTAAAAATCGGCTTTTCTAGTAAGAGGGGTAAAATAAAGCTACGAGGGATGCAAGAAAGGTGCCTTTTATAGTAGCCGGAAGGTATAAGAATACTATTCCTCCCGGGCTTATAACTCTCGCGAAGAGAGATACGAGAAGTATATAAAAATGCACGAAGGTGAAATTAGAAGTAAGGGGTCGGACAGGCAGGGCAGAGGGATTTGATTCTTACGGGGGCAGCAATAAAGGTAGGGGAGTGATTGTTGTATTGCCTTAATTGTCCTTCTTTCCTCTATCTAACGCCCCTCTTTATACCCGTCTAGCATCTCAATTAACAAAGAAGATCCTGCTTAAAGAAGCCACTAATGTCCTTTTAACTACCGAGCTTTTTGCCGGTTTTTCCTTTCCTTTCTAGCCGTTGCCGGCACATCCGTCTTATCTCTCGCCACCTCTATAGGAAGCCATCGCCACTTCTGCTTCCCCTTATGCCCCTACCCTCCTTTCTGCACCTCTTTTTAGCTCCTTCTTCCTTCTTCCACACCGGGTGTTTTTTAGCTTCCTTGGTCCCTCGTGCCAAGGGATATCTCCGAGAACTGCGAAATCAGGCCACGCTTCGCGACAATAATAGCCTAATATATTATATTCTTAGCCTTTTTAAAGACTTTCTTATTATTAGTTATCTTAGTAACGCGATCGCGTGCTTTCTTTATATTTATACTTATTAATAAGGTATCTTCTGCCTTTTATTTTTTTAAAGGCGTACTAAGCGGACGGCCTATTATAGATTAGTATAAAGATTAGTATAAAGTAAAGAGGAGTATTTAAGAACTCTTATTATATCGCCGTTGCTTTTAATTATCTATAAAGAAGAGAGCTAAGAAATACGAAAATATCTAAAATTATTAGCTAGAGTATTATATAAAATAGAGAGAGATATTACTTACTATTTAATATATAGTATTAATATAGGTATTAAAAGTAAAATAAAAATTCCTAATGCTAAACGAAGACTAAATCTTTACTTTATATAAACCTACTTTTTACTAGAAATTAATTAGGTTAGTAGATCTTTATAACTAGATAACTATATTTTAATTAGCTAAGAAGCTTATTACTACTAGCTTATATTATTATAACCTTTCTTTTTTTTTCTCCCTCCTTAATAAATATATACTCGCTTATAACCGCTAAGCCTTTAAGGTTAGTATACTATTTATATATAAATAGCTTTATATTAATATATTAATTATTTATAGTAATCTTACTTTTAGTCTTATAGTACGCGGCCGGTTTTTAGCTAGCTAACTAGCGGAAAGACTCTCCTTAGCTAGAATATAAATACTAGCGGAAAAACTAATAGTAAAGGTAAGGGGAAATTAGTTAAGCTAGTAAGTATTATTAAGCGTAAATAAAGATTTAAGCTAAGTAGTAAGTCTTTATTTATCTTTTCTTACTTAAACGTAATAAGACTTAAGTATATTTCTTTCTTAGATTATCTATTAATTTTAATATTAGCTATTACTTTACGCGAAATTCGAAAATTCTAGTAAATTCCTAATTTACTTATCCCTTACGCCTTATTCGCCTACTTTATTTAAAGGGTTATATAAGATATTACTCCTAGCCTTTATATCTAAAAGGTAGTATTAGTAGCTATCTAAGAGTTAGTAAAGAGTATACTAGCTACTATATTCTAAGGTAAGTTAATATAATTATTATACTAATTATTATACTAATTAGCGACTATAAATAGTAATAAGATAGCTAGCTATTATAGCTAAAAGAGTTATAATTTAATAGAAAGATATTACTACTCTTAAGGATATTATTAATATCCTTAGGAAATAAGACTAATCTTTCTTAGTCTAAAATAAAGCTAGTATATATACCTTATTAAAAGTTATTATATTAATTATTTATATTAACCTTTTTCCTTTAGCGTATAGTTCTACCTCTTAGCGTAACTTTTCTAATCTATCGAGAGTCGAAAAATAAAAGCTTTTATAAAGCACGTAACTAGTAAAGATTAAAGAAGCGCGTACTTATAAAGTTTAAGCTTAAAGAGATAATTTTAATAAGAAGTAAAAGTAGTTAAAAGAGTAACGATAATCGAAGGTATAGTAAAAGAAGAAAACTACTACTATAGAGATTAATAGTAAGGGGAGTAAAAATAAAGATAATTCTAACTATAAATAGCCTTAAATAATTAAAAAGATCTATAAAGTCCCCTTAGATAATAAGGCTAATAAGGATAAAATATTTAAAGAATTACTATAATTATTAAGTATAGAAAAGCCTATAATAACTATAGATAGGCTTAAGCTTATCTTAGCCGGCGGGAAGTATAAGGGTAGAAAGTTAAGAGTAAAAGAAGCTAAAAATATCCTAGCTCTAAGTTAGAGATAAGGAGATAATTAGTATAATTAATTAGTACTAGACTTCTAGTTCTCTAATCTTTATAAATTCGCTTAACTAAAAGTAACTTTAAATAAGAATCTACTAAGTTATTTTAGGCTAGTCTAGGTACCTAGCTTTATCTAAAGTATATATTAATAACCTATAGGTAAATATAGTCTTTTAGCTTAAAACCTATTTCTACCTATAGACTAGACTGAAAAAATTAGGCGGCCTATGGGTAGCCACGGGCGCCTACTTTTAAAGTCTACCCGGCACTACTATGTTCAGGCACTCGATGCCTACGGGCTATTCCCGACCCCGAGGAACAAGGGGTTTCAATTAGTGTGAGCAGGCCGGTAGTGTTGGGACTGATCAATCGTACGTGTATTGTCAGAAAGAGCAAGGTTATACTGGACAAAAAAGGCATATAGGGACGGAGGTGACAAGACCAGCATTATATACGCCTATTCCATGCCCTAAACGTAATCTCGCCTGTAACATCGGATATTTGTCGCCTCAATACTTCGTTTGCAAGGTTTCCATTTCGCGTGAGTCCAGAGATGTGAGCAAATGCAAACTGGAAAATGGATGCTTGATCAAAACAGACTGAAGACAGCGTTCTGTTCAGCTAATGTCTGAAAGAGTCAAGGGGTTTAGAAAATTTCACTCCCTACGGCCAGACAATGCAAGGCCTTCAGAGGTATCTAGTCTTGAGTTACAGTGACCTGGCAGTCCCCTGTTTCACCGCGATTCAAGCCCCCTTGACCCTTCCAGCGAAGGTCTTGTTACTCCTATTAATTCGCGGCCTTCTGCGCTTGCTGGAGGTTGGTGAGCTGCTGCGCAATTGCACCATTCTTCTGCGTCCTCAACGCGTCGGCGAGGCCTTGGTTCCCGCTCGCCTCCGCCTGCACTGCATCCTGCTCCTTCTTTTTCTGAAGATCCGTCAACTCCTTGATGCGTGCATCGACCGCCGGGGTCTTGCTTGCAGTTCCACCAGCTCCAGCGGTTGCGCCATTTCCATTGGCATTCCCTGCGGCACCTGCAGCGCCGCCCTGCGCTTGGTTGACGGCGTTGTTGGCGGCTTGGCCCTGATTACCGGCCAGAGCAGAGGCAGCGACTGGTTCTTATGTTAGTTGGGCACTGGGACAAGAGAAGCGTGGAAAGATGGTGATGACGCACAGGCAAGAAGGGCGGCGGCGGCGGCGATGCGAACCATGTTGGGCAACTTTGAGAGTAGTGGGAAGGTTATGTGCAAAGAAAGACGGGCGTAAGCCTGGTGTTAAGGAAAGAATAAAGAATAAGAGAGGGACAACGCCTGGTTGTTTTGGTATAGGAGAGAGAGAAGTGCTTAGAGGATAAGGACGGATGCTGACTTCTAGAATCAAGACTGGAATGCTCTAGGGCCATCGATCTCTTTTATACTTGTCTGGCAGACGCGCCACGCCGTCTTTCGTCTCATGTCCGAGTTCGTTCGGGTTCGGACCCCTTTGGAAAGCCCCCCAACTCACACAATCAATGGCTTGAGAAGTTATGGGACGACAGGCGGGAGTGAGGCGCGGCAGACTTGGGACAGGCTTGTCTCAGGTGCCGAGTATGGCCGGTTGCAGGGCCTGTCCAGTCGGAACTCCCTCTGAGCAGCTGAGTCGGGTACGTTGCTGTGGTGGCGATTTGCATACGGCCCGCAGGGTCGGTTTTGTCCCTGGAGACAGTGGTGAAGGGCCGTGTCGCCGTGAGACGGGGGGCGTTACAGGCGACGTGAAACGAGGCGCAGGATGGGCGAACATGTTCGAGCGACAATTAGGGGTTGAATCAATTCTTTAGCGTCTTCCTTGGACGGGATTGACAGAGATCTGACGATGTCCTCACATATGGAAATGGACAGCATCCGGGACCATGGTGTAAGTTGACCAGCCGTCAAGGCGGCGCTAACCAAGGCTTCGGCTTAATTCATGGATAGGAGCCGTCGACGGACCGAGGACAACGCTACGAGTGCTGCTGCTTTCTCTTATAAATTTAAGCAATCCGCCAAATGGCAATGTGCCTCACCTTTCTTGGCGCAAGAAAGCACGGTTAGACCAATGTTTGAAGTCGGTCGGTGCATCACTGCCAAGGCACATGGCCAAGGCAGGGCATGAATAACTCCCGTCTGCCACGTGCAGTGTGCAGTAGGCGCGGCGCCTTTGGCATCAGACGAAAGAATCGGACCGTTGTCCTTGTCTTGTCTCTGACGGATAGGGGAATGCCTCTTGTTTTAGCTGCGTGGAGCAGCAGGTTTGGCAGAGGTTACGTAGTTGCCCTTGCCAACCCCGGCGCCCTCGGGTCCCGCCGAGGTCCTTTCGAAACTCGAAGAAGCTCCCTATAGCCCCGGATCTAGGAAACGGTAGGGTTGTCTATTCACGCCCGCCAAGTTTGGGTGATGCGGCATACATATGTCATGGATGCATTTACAACTTGCGTCGCCCAACCCCGTGCACCTGGACTTTTTCTTTCTCATCTCTTTCGAAACCAGGAGTCGATGGAAGCCATCCATCGATGGAAATCGGGGGCTGTGCCTTGGTTGCTGGAGCAATGTCCGCGAGCCGACTGGCGACACTGGTAACAGGAGAAGGAGTCTCCTGACTGGGATCCGGGAAGAATGACAGGACATAATCATCGTGTACGCAATTAACGACAGCAGTCATCACAGCGGGTCCAGCATTTGCTTGCTCACCATGAGCTCACCAGCGTGATTGGTTTAGTGGTAAAATTCTCCGTTGCCATTCGAGCAGCGTCGGGGAGCCCTGGGTTCGATTCCCAGATCACGCATGATTTCTTCTTTTGCCTGGCGCAGCGGGTAAATATTTCTTTTTTTGCTTCTTTGCTTGACGGGAGGAAGTTGGACGAGTCTGCAGCTGAGAGAGAGCCCAGCGGCACGGGATGCTCTGCGTAGACCGAGTCCGCTAGTCGCGTTGGCGGGGTTGATCAGTAGCAGCGTACGTGGCGTATTGCAAGTCACTCGCTCGCAACGCGACGCCTTGGACTTTCCAAGGCAGTGGTGGAAAGTGTCGCTCGGCTAATAATTAATAATTCGTTCCCCTTTTCCAGCCTGAGCGGTAGCTGTCCGCGGCCACGAATACAGCGCGCCCCTGCTCAAGTTCCTGCTCAAGTTCCGTGACACAACATGACTGAGGCGAGCATGGCAAGGGCGGGGGCGAACAGATTCTTCGCCCATACAAACTTGGCGCATATGTCATTTAGGGAGCCTCCACTGCCCCACGGCGCTGGGCTGGCCCAATTTTGTTGGGTTTCGGTGTGAAAAAGGCACGACACATGCTGTGCGAGAGCGAATAAAAAAACACGCGCAAAGCTTCGGAAAGAACAGACAGATATTCCAAAAGATATCGGTATAGTGGTCTTAGTGGTCGTGCATCTATCCATTTTGGGGAAATATTTAGATCATCTTCACGTCTATCCGTAGAAGCGCTACATAAACGGTTCTCTTATTGGCGGTGGAAAAGGGGGCGTGGGCGTTTTTACCCCGCTTTGGTGAGTGACTCACCCCCCAGTCCCCTCCGTCCACGGCGAGGCAGCGTTTTTGGAATTTTTGTGTCTACTTCGAGAGCACTTCTCCCTCCTCCGACATCTCTTCTCGTCCAATCGGCCCCGACTCGTCTCGAAAACCCACGACTCCTTGCGAATCGCCGCGACAATGTGCTCCGATCCAGCAGCAGACGGCTCCAACGACCAGCCCACTGCGACGACAGTGGCGGCGGCCCTGCGCGAGGCCAAGCGATCCAACCCTTACCAGTCCGTCGGCGACTTCCTTTCCAACACAAACAAGTTCCAGATCATCGAGAGCACGCTCCGAGAAGGCGAGCAATTCGCCAATGCTTTCTTCGACACCGGTAATGCCATTGGGCCCAGCACGTCAAAATGCTCCAAGTTACTAACTCGTTTGTCCAACAGAGACCAAGATCAAGATGTGCGCCGACCTGCTTCCCCCTCACGGTCGACTCTACTGACATCGTTCCCTCAGAGCCACGGCTCTCTCCGACTTCGGTGTTGAATACATCGAGCTCACATCCCCGGCTGCCTCGGAGCAATCTCGCCGCGACTGCGAGGCCATCTCCAAGCTCGGCCTCAAGGCAAGCAATCCGGCCAGCCATTGTCTCTGCAATTACTGACAACTCCGCAGGCCAAGATCCTCACCCGTTAGTACCTTCACTTTGGCTGCCCGACTTCGCTTATCTAACCATTAACTGGTCAGACACAAGGTGCACTCTCGAGGTAAGTTGCCTCATCAGCTAGATCTTTTTCTCAGCTAACGCCAGTTAGGATGCCAAACTTGGTGGGTTTTACATTGCGGGAGGCTTTTGACGTTTTGCTAAGCCATATAAGCGTGCGACTGCGGCGTACACGGCGTCGATGTCGTCATTGGCACCTCCAGGTCGGTCCCCTTTCCCTCTCCAGCTCCCGTCTGGTCCCGGGCGGCCTCCACTGACATCGCGACAGCTTCCTGAGAGAGCATTCTCATGGCAAGGACATGGTCGCCATCACTAAGCAAGCTCTCGAGGTCATCGAATACATCAAGAGGTACCTAGCATTTTCTACTTTTACCCGTCCATCTCCTCTCACCTCTTTCTTTTTCCCATCGCCAACTTCGGCCTCAGAAAGATGCCCCAAAAGCTAACCCTTTTCACAGTCGAGGCTGCGAAGTCCGGTTCTCCTCTGAAGATTCTTTCCGCTCCGACCTGGTCGATCTACTTCAATTATATCGTGCGGTGGATAATGCTGGGGTCAACCGTGTAGGAGTCGCCGACACGGTGGGCTGTACGTGCATCCCCTTTCCCCTCTGTTCCGATGATATCGCTGCCTTGGGCGTGCCTTGGAGTCTCTATGGAAGTGCCCAAGGAGTGACTGGAAGGAGTGCGGAGTCGCGCATAGCCTGGGATAGTAAGGCCTTTTGAGTCTACCATCCAAGGCAGGTCGTGGCGCCGTCTCCTGGTCGTCAATTCTCAGCCATCCTTCTATGCCTGTTCCGAATCGTGCCAAGCGCTTGAGGAAAGGACACCGCTAATACTTTACAGGTGCTACGCCTCGCCAGGTCTATGATCTAGTTAGGACGCTTCGAGGTATGCTCAACCCAATTTAATTATCTCTTGCTTAGTCCTATTGGAAACACTAACTTTACTTTCTTAGGCGTTGTCTCTACGGATATCGAGACCCACTTGTGAGAAAGCCCCCTTTTTCCGCCCTTGAGAGCGAAGCTTTTTATCGTCGGTCTTCAGGGCCGGCGTTAAATTCCTTGCCTCCCCGGCGGTTATTGGGCACCAGTTTTCGCTTACATACGCAGCCACAATGACACAGGTTGCGCGATCGCCAATGCGCACGCTGCTCTGGAAGCTGGAGCAACTCGTAAGTTCAACCCCGATTTACCGCTGTCCTAAGAATTCTTATATCTATCGAAATACCTTTTCTTGGCTATTGGCAACCCCATCCCTTCATCATGGGCCACACCCCATACATAATCGTTGAGCCGCAAGCACTAATCAATAAATTACAGACATTGATACCTCTGTACTCGGTATAGGTAAAGTAGCCATTCTAATACTCAGGGTTATCATCTTCGCTGCTAAAAGCTAACCAATAACCAAGGCGAGAGGAATGGCATTACGGTAAGCACAGCGTGGCTACCTTATGGTTGATGGTTCGGCTAATGCATCCAGCCCCTGGGTGGCCTCCTGGCCCGCATGATCGTCGGTAGCCACGACTACGTCACTTCGAGATACAAGCTTCACAAGCTCAAGGAGATCGAAGATCTCGTCGCAGAGGCGGTGCAGGTATGTCTTTCTCAAGCTTCGTCAAGCCTTCAAAAATTCAGTACCTAATGTGAACATCTAGGTCAACATTCCGTTCAACTCGCCTATCACAGGTGCGTTTATTTTTGTCTTCAGCCTGTCTTCCCTCTACATCATTCTCGGCACGAACTTCTTCAAAGTAATGCCAGGCGACGCTCGGCTACCACCTCAATACGCTCCGAGCCCACTTGCCTTACGCCGTCGCGGCGAACAATTCGTTTCATCAACACATCGTATGAAATCTTCCAAGATCAGGTCGCTAACTATCATAAAGGCTTCTGCGCATTTACTCACAAGGCCGGCATACACGCCAAGGCAATTCTCAACGATGTAAGTACTTTTTTCTCTTTGCTAGACTGCTCTTGGCTCCTTGTTGCTAACTCCTTTACCGCCCTCAACCTACGAAATCATCAATCCGGCCGATTTCGGAATGTCGCGTTATGTCCATTTCATGTCCAGACTCACTGGGTGGAATGCTATCAGGAGCCGAGTTGAGCAGCTTGGCCTAGGCATGACTGATGAACAGGTTAAGCTGCTGTACGTCTACCGGCTCTATAATCCCCCTCAACAACCGATGGCTGACATGACATTCAAGGACGTCCAAGATCAAGGCCATGGCTGATATCCGCCCCCTTGCCATTGACGACACGGACTCGATCATCCGTTCCTTCCACCTCGAGTTGCAAGACCAACAATAGACGTGGTAAACCACGTTGGCAGATGTTGAGGCAAGGAGCCGGAGGATTGCGAAGGATATCACGTAAAGTATGGGATCGGCTCGGCCGCCTTGATGCTGCGACTCTAAGGAGGCGAACCGAACTCGGATTATTAGAGGAATGGCAGGGTGTAATAAAAATCAATTTGCACCCCTACTATCTTCTCTTTACAAACGATTCTCGACGTATTCCTTAAGTGGGCGGCGAAATGACGCAGAGGTATCATCTTCAAAGGCAGGACTCCTGCGATCACGGCCTCGTTGAATCAGTCAACCTTCTACACGCTGCCTGGTTGCATCAACAGAGAAGCGCATTTGCGCGTCCTCACTAATCTGTCTTCCCCCCTTCTGGCCATTTGTTTTCTTGTTTCCGCAAGATAGCACCGACTTTGCGGGCAAATACATGGCCTCGTCCTTTGCGTGGACTCTCAGCTAAGCAAGGACAAAGGCCTGATTGCATCACCGTCACCCGAACTGCATTCGACCGACCCCCATCTTGATACATTAGTCCCGCTCCAACCATGCACCGCCGAATCCGCCCAACGACGTAGTTGCGGGTGATAGCCACCGAAGACTCCGCTTTGGATGGCAATCAGGACTCATCTGCCGACAGAACCATCAAGAACAAGGCTCGAGTCGGCGACTTACATGATCGGACCGTCTGCCATGCTGGACATTGGCCCTGAAGGATCGATCAATGACGATGGGTCCCTGGATTTGGTACACCTGCTCCAAAGACAGTCCAGGTATATGAAACAGGGAGTTGCAAAAGGCCATTTGGAAGAGAAGGGGTGGAAGCTTTGGGGGATTGGAAGGAGGAACGGGAGCCTTGGCCTCGGGATGACGACTGAGCGCAGATACGCAAGCCGTGGAACATCTGTTGATGCCTGAGAAAGCCGTGACAGGTCCAAGGGAGGTCTGCAGAGACACAGGCACTGTGCCAACTGGCGTCTTTTCCATCGTCACTTACGTGCCGTGCCAGCCCTCGGTATGGTAAAGGCGCGGCACGGATCGAGCGCGATAGGCCGGTGGCTGATTAGCCTTCGTATTGCGGGATGTTCCGTGTGAACTGCAGGGAAAGCATGGCAATAATTTGCCAGTGTCCCACCTGCGGAGCGGGAGAAAATTCAAGCTCAAATGTCGCCTTGCGTTGTGCACACGAACGAGCATGGCATCTTTTGTTCCAGCCCCCACGATTCATTGTGCACGAAGAAAAAAAGCAAAGGGGGGTGAGACACGGTGGCTTGCACTAGGCAGCGTTAGTGGACATGCACTAAAGATGCACAACCACATGGTGAGTGCGCTGGAAAGCGACGACAAGGGCCCTGAAAAGCGACGACAAGGGCCCCGAAGAACCACCAACACGGGGCCCTACATCCCGGCGCCGTGGCAACCAGACGAGGCCGTTTCTGCAGGATTTACAGTACGAATACGCGAGGCTGGATGGAACGTGTTTTCTGTACAGTACAGTAGGGGCCTGCAAGGCGATCCCAGAGCCGTGCCCGCCCCGAGGCCTCCTCGACGGACAGGGGGCACCGGCAAGGAGACGCCCCCAACCTCCGTGTAAGCATCTGTGCCTGATGCCGCATGCACCAAGTACCGTAGCATCGTTACGACGCTGCCTTATCGCTCTTGAACGATAAAAATGTCGGGAAGCCCCCCGGGGGCGTGCACCCGTTTTTTCCCTCTTCCCTTTCACCCCATCGACACCTGCGTGCGAGCGCAGACAAGAAGGGGAAACGATAGTCGAGCACGGCGAGGCCAGTTTCCCGGTGAGCCTCGACCCACGGACAACTGACATGCCCTTGCCCTCTTCTCGCATCCCCATCACTGCTCCTTGGCTCCTCCTCTACCTCCCCTCTCTCCCCGTTTCTCCCCATCTGCCGTCTTCTTCTCACAGGCTGGACCAACAGACAGGCCGACAACGACCCCGACGACAAAGAGACGAGCATGCGCGCCGTCTCCTTTGGAACATACTTGGATATCCCCATAGTTTCCCCCTCGTTCCTTTGTTCCTCCCGCGTCATCGACAATACACGCCTTTCGCCATGGTTCCCAACTGCTTCTTCATCCGACTGCCTCCCCCAGCCGCCCTTCTCGTTCTCGCCGCCGTCCTGCGCCTCTCCTCGGCCCATGTGCTCCCTCGAGAGTTGCCCCCTCGAGAGTCGAGAAGCCTTCCGATGCCGACGCTCAGTGCCAGGCCCTCGCCCCTGGCTGCCACTCCGGCCCCGACGCGGCCTGCCCGGCTCCGTGAGCGCGACTCGTACAACACCGTCTGCGGGTACATAGGAGGAAACCCCGCGCTGCCGGCGACCTGTACCGAAGGTTCGCACTGCGCCGTCGACGTCCAGCATGGAGTCATGGGCTGCTGTCCCGATGGCCATGAGTGCACCCGCGGCATCTTCACCGGCTGCGTCGACAAGAACAGCAGTCCCCAGACCCTCAGGGACCCATACGTCTTCACCTGCCAGGGCGGCGACGTCTGCTACCGCAACTCGTTTGACGGCGGCTTCTATCAGTACGGCTGCGGCTCTGCCTCGCACCTCGCCACCGACGTGGCCTCGACGGCTCCCGGCCGCGACCCCCTCGACGTGAGCCACGTCACCCTCGCCCTCACCGCGACGCCCACGCCTCTGGCCACGCCCGTCGTCATCGGCACCCTCTCCTCGTCGGCCTCGGGCGCCAAGTCGGATCCGGGCCAGGCAAGCAGTCTGAGCCCAGCCGTGCCATCCGCCGCCGCCGAAGCAGGCGCGCCACCCAAGGACGCCCGCTCGCCCAACACAGCCGCCATTGTGGGAGGGACCATTGGCGGCGTCGCTGCCTTGGTGCTTCTGCTTGGCCTTTGTATCATGCTGTTTCGACGGAAAAGGGGCCACGGGCGCGGGCCTGGTCAGGACACGCGCTACATCAGGTGAGTGGCCTCGTCGAGCCTCCTGCTATCATCTAACTCGTTCGCAGCCCCATGGCCGATGCACGCCATCATTTTGAGCCTCTGCCATCGTCGCAGTCAGCTGGTCCGGAAACAGGAGCAATGAGGCATCGTCCGCTGGGGTCTTCCAATCTGGCCGCAGCGCCGGACAGTGACAACTCGGCCGCGCCGCAGCCCAAGTTTCTCAGCGACGGCGCGCCTCCGAATGGCGCTGGGAAGCCCAGAGGGCCCCCTCGAGATTTGGAACTCGATCAGGTGCCGCTGACAAGAGGAGTCGACGGCCTGTCCCCGGGCGTGAGGACGACGCGAGCAGCGTCCCCAGAGAATGACAACGCGACACTGGCCACCGACGACAGCGCAAGCTCGTACCGCGGACCGCGCCGGAGCGGAGGGGGAGCCCTGTGGCAGCAGAATCGCAGACAACGCCGCAACTTGATGTGGATATGATGACACCAAGGGCAGTTGAAGATGGTGAGTGTCCGACACCAGCATGCGACGGTCTCCCGGGAGGCTTTGCGTAACGATACCCTTTGTCGACGCTCGGGTACTTTTGGAAAGTGATTAGTGGTCGATATGATTTGGGGCAGCATGGTCTGCAGTCTTTGAAACAACAAAACATGGCAATTGCCGGCGTTGGATGCTTGCGAGAGATATCCAGGCTTGCAGAGGTTCGCGTCTTTGCGTGCACGGGGATAGCGGTGGGTTGTCTATAGCGGGATTATGCCAGCCATTCGCGTTGGTCGCGAGAGGACTTTAATGCACATGGCGACGCTCTGGCAGAGAAGCATGACCAAGAGAGCAGGGCTAGATGAGACAGGCAGAGTCAACAAGACATCAATACCCATGACACGCTTGTGGAGTGGGCGAGAGCCTGGTGGGGGCTCTGGGTAACTTGCTGCCGTCAAGGTCCGTCATTTGGCGGCGCGGGGGCGCCGGGGCGATTCGGCGCCGGCGGGCTGCTCCACCCCTTTGCCTACGCTGCCACCTTATGACAGTCAATATTGTACTGTGCAGACGGGGCGCGAGACAGGCTGCAGACACAATGGATCTGCAGTAGAGATGGATTACCTGGTCGGTCGATCGACTCGTGGCATGGCATGGAAGAAGACCCGCTTTCTCGCATCCCTCCACCCTCCCGAAGCAGACATCTTGGAACGCCGAGCCCGGCTGTGGCTGGCTGTGTTGCATCGGTCAATGTTGTTGGTTAGCTCGGGCCGCCCTGACAAACACAAAGGGACAGGGTCGTCTGCGAGGAGATGCGGGTATTAAACAAAGTATTAATAGGGATCTGGTACCGAGCAAAGAGCCTCAACGCCGTAACGAGCCCCGAGGCGTGTCCCGCTCGTCGGCCGACCTTGCCCGTCCGTCGACATCAGCCGTCACCGGCAAGCTACTCCCCCTCTTTCCGCAAAAACACCTTGAGCGTTCAAGCGTTGTCTATCGTATGTTCCCCCTTGCTCCAGGTGTACTCCGTGCGTGCAGACTTGAGAGGGTAAGAAGACCAGTGTCCGCCAGGTCTAATGCGGCGTCGCTCGAGAGTCGTGAAACATTACCATGAAAAGGTCGCGGTCGTGAGCCCGCGCCACAAGAAAACTTGCCCAGGTCTGCCCCTTCGACCCGCCTGCTTTCTCTATTATACCCATCCGCAAGGGAAAAAAGTTCGTCAACATGTCGTCGCGAGAGATACCCACGAGCCCCGAAGGCCCCGGGAGCTTGTCCCTGTGTAGCAGCGCGTCCGTCGCTATAGAGTCCCGTCCGCCCCTCAAAAAGTCCTGCAGCTGCTTCTTGACCGGGCTGTCAAACGACCCCATAAAGTTGGGCAGCGCCTTGGTGCACTCGGTCAGCTCGTTGATGTTATACACGCCCAGCAGGCTGAGCCGCACGTGTTCCCTCGAGTATGCCTGGGCGGGAAATGTCAGCCACTCCGTCCAGCCGGACCGCCGACGGGGGAAAACGCACCTGGTTCCACTTGATCTGTCCGATAAAGGCGCTGCTAAACGACCGCCACGTTCCGCGCGTGTGCGTGTCGTTGGCCAGGTTCATGTCGCTCTGCAGCTTCAGCACCCTCTTGGGCGCGTCCTTGCTCGTCGTCTCTCGGCAGTACAGCGTGTCCCACACGCCCGGCGTGCTGTCTTGTGGGTCACCCGCCGGGTCAGGCTGCATATTGCGCTGCTGGCTCGTTGTGTGTGCGCCGGTCAGGGCCGCAAGCCCGGCCGGGCTGATTGTCTTGTCCTCAAACATGGAAATCAGCGTGTCGGCGCTGGCAGAGGGCCCCGGCAAGAGTCCCTTGGGCGAGGGCTCCTTGCTGTCCTTGCGCCCGATAAAAGATCGGATGCGGGGCCCGAGGGGGCAACTGACGGTGCCAACCGTGGCCCCGAACTGGATCAAATCGGCCATGCCGATGCCGAACTCCTTGTGTTTGTCGAACCAGATCCTCATCTGGGCGCAAATCTCCAACAAGCCCTTGTTCTCCCGACGCTCGTCGCACTCGCGCACCAGGAGAATCGAACCGTCCGCGCCGCTCTTCTTGCCCGTGCTCTTGGACCATGTGCCCGCATCGTGGAAGCCCATGCGTACGGCCTGGCGGGCAAAGTCGTTGCAGCGTTCTGCCGACCCAGCCATGGCGGCGTGCATTTCGTCGGCAATGTATTTCCAGATACAGCACTTGTCTTTGGCGCAGGCGGTCGACCCTTTGGGCGGGACCGAATTGACCCTTCCCGACAGACTCTGCCCGCTCTCTCTGCCCGCTCTCTCTGCCCGTGAGGATGTTCTTGATGGCCCTGCCCGTGGCGCCCAGGTCCTTGTCCGCGAGCTCTGCGAGATCTCCAATCAGAGATGTCGATAACGGTCCTTGACGTTTCTCAATCTCGGCCAGAGTTTGGTCCATGCCGGGGAAGGCGGCCGCGACACCGGCCATTGCCACGGCGACGGCGTTTATGAGTGTCGGTTTCCTCATGGTCAACAGATAGAACAATATCAAGGAATAACTTCCAGAAACAAAAGTGCCTTTGGTCGTCGATAAGATTCTACAGATCAAGAGGCATACATCCCCCACCTTATATACTCGCCCCAAGGCAACGCGCCGCAGCAGGACGGCTGCCGCTCTGGCCGACTCGTCTCCGCGTTTGTCACAGCTGGCCTCGCGTTGAAGGACGAGTACATTCCCGGCGCGTGACCCCAGCTCTAGATCCCGGGGACGGGTTGAGATACGCTCGGTCGCCGCGTGCGATCCTTCAAGTAGCGAACACGGCACGACACCGGAGATTGCACGGTGCAATACGGCTTGTTCGCTCCCCTGTTAAGCGTACAGCGCTCAGTCCAAGTCTGCGTGCAGAGACGGATACGTCAGCAGTGCAGCACTATGCCAAAATTCAATATTGCCAACAGTCGCTTCGCAGGACCTCGCCAATGAGTGGGCTGGAAATCATCTCGTTCAGGCAGAAACACAAGTCGGCGCGAATGCCGAAGCGCGTGAAGCAACGCAGCTGCGGTTGGCTTGTTGCATAGCCGCTGTTGGTTCCGACACTGATTTGTCCACTGGCAAGGGTATAGCGTTGAGCCACTCAGATATATTCAGCTGGCGTTCAGAACGCATAGACTTCGCGCGTCTGCCTTACTGACGGCCGAGAACAGTGCTGAAGGTATGCTTCGATGTTGTGTTGGCCGCGTGCTCAGCCGGTAATGGTCGCCACGTCACTTGCTTCCTCGCCGTGGCACAGCGGACAAGGCTGACAGAGACTTGGAAGTCCAAGACGATTGCACCGCCCACCCTCCATCCTGGCTTCAGCATTTGCATTTGCGCCAACCACTTTGAAACATTCACGTCGCCTGCCGCAGCCAATGTCCGAGCAGACCGACCGCGATGGCTGCCAAGCCCCGGAGAGGCCAGTAGGATCAATACGACGATGACTCCTGTGTCCCGATTGACCATATTTTGAGAGATGACTCGTCTAGTGTTCTGCTGCCACCGCAAGGTTGTCGGCCCGTTCCGAAGTTCTCGACCGCGCGATCCGAAGCGTGCTCCCAGGCGCCGGAGCACGTGGCAGCCACCGAGCCACAGCTGTGCAGCGTCATACTTCCGACAGGGGAATCATGTGCCTTCCAACTCCACGAGGGCCGTACAAGGCCGAGCTGGTTGCCCACATCTTCCCATACGAGGACCGAGCCGTCATCGGACCCGGCCCAGACCTCAAAGGCGGCATTCCCACCCGTGTCACCTTGATACACGTCGCAGGCCAGCCGCTGCTGAGACTTGGCCTTGCGGCCGCTCAAGGCGGCGAGGAGCTTTCCTGAGCCGCGGATATCGTAGATGAGGAGGTTGCTTGACTGTCGTTCGTTGACGATGAGGTACCGTCCACATAGACTCCACACGAGCTGCACGATTCCTTGACCGTAATGGTCAAAGTCGAAGTCGGCGTTAACTTTCCCAGCGTGAGCAATTCCCCAGTTTGCAACGGCGTGATTTGTGCGGTGGAGGTCGTACAGCCCAATCCATCGGGTCCGGGTGCCGGCAGCCACAAGGGTTTGGTTGTTGGCATCTTGCGACGGCGCAGCCAGCGCAGCCACGGTTCCCTTCATGCCAACGCCACTTCCTTTGGCAATGTGGCGCCTCGACGGTATTGTCGGCACCGCCAGGACGGGGCCGTCGGAACCATGCCGGGACACGTCGAAGTAGTCCAGTCGATTGGCCGAGCCGCACAGGAAGTGAGAGCCCGAGCCGTGCCACAGGAGGGAGGCTGGGGTGATAAATGCCTCGGTCTCGGCCTTGATCAGCTTGTACGCGGCCAGCGGGGCTGGATGCTCATGGCTAGGGAAGGCGTGGTTGAGATGCAAGGGATGATCGCGGCAGCCGACGAGATACGTCTGCGTGGACGACTCGGCTAGAGAGAAGAATGGAGCAGTAGCGATGACCTGCGTGGGTTCGGGCAGCTTCGTTGTCGACTGAGGCTCCAGTTGAAGCTCTCGATGGGGATATTGCAAGAGGTCGGCTGGAAGGACAATGGAGGAGACTGTATTGTCTGACGAGCCGACGACGACAGTCGTTCCATCGGCAGTCCACTGCGCCGATGAGTAAAAGGAACGCTGGGCCTCGCCATGGCCGTGTCGGCGAGTCGATGGCGGCGTCTTGCTTAGGAGAGGCCTTTGAGCAAGGAGCTTGACATCTGGTGGTGTGCGGTGAGGCTTGTCCTGCTCACCGGGGGCAGCGCCCGTCGTTTTGTCGACGGTGTCTCCTGACTCCATGGACTGTGGTCATGGGCATTGGCTTTGTTGATCTCACGACGATGACGGCAAGCAGCGGGCTTGATTTTTATTCCATTTCAAGTTCCGTACGAAGAGTACGTCGAGGACTGTTAAATTCTCGCGAGACCTCGGGTCAGACTGCCGGTCACGCCACAAGCCAGCTTATCCGTTGCCGACAACGTCGCTCAACGATGACTCGACAGATTGTCGCGTGGAGATGCAGCGGCCAGAGGGTTGGAGACGGGACGGTCAAACGGGTGGTAAAAGGAGAGGGCAAATGTGTATTAGGAAGTACCTGCTTGGAGTTGTGCCGGGCTCGGGAGAACCACAGCGGAAGTATGTGCACCGTGCCCACAGGTACCTCTCACCACCTTATTACAACCAAGGTACGGATACAGGTAGCATCCTTTGCACACTGTGCACAGTTCCATTCCAGGTGCCGTCCTCTGGCTGAGCGCACGTCATCAGTTGGCGCTAGCAGGCGAGTACCTGGCGAAAGCACGCTATCTGCTAAAGCAGGCACCGCATTCCCATGTACCCTTTTGCCCTGACCCCGGCATTATGCGACTCACAGGCCAAGTCCGCCGCTATCGGCACTCACCTGACCTCGCTGCGGCCGCTAACGTGCCTACCCAGGCTGCGCTGACTGCAGGGCAACCAGGTGTGCTCCTCCTCTGCTGCGCTCGCTCGCTCTCCCGCCCGAGGTCCCTCGTCAAACTCCAACACACTCCCGACTCTCATCAGCCCTCGCAAGTCGCGCGCTGCCTCTGCTCCCCGCGCTGCTGCCACTCCAGTGCAGACCGCTTGCATCCTCGACGCGAACCAGAAGCACCTCGTTAAGCTTTCCCAACTAGTCCCGTCGTCCCCGAGCCCCCTCCCACCCGTCGAGCATCATGCCGATCGTCTAGTCCTCATATCCCCTCTTTGCTCTTCTTCTCGGCCGGCCGGCCTCTCATCAATCAATCCACATACGACGGATTGTACACCTCGTGCTGCGTAGCATCTGCCGCTTCCTCTTCGCTTCTTTGCATCCGCAGGTGCCGCCGCCAGCTTCGTTCACGCGCAAGCATCTCCACCGAGCAGCTCCACCCCGGAATACAGCATTCGCCCTCCCGCCATGGACTTTTGGGAGTCGGCCAGCGTGCAGTGCGAGAAGCTCAAGTCGCCGTCGTATCTCGAGCTCGTCATCTCCATGTGCGGCATTCTTCCATGGAGCTGGCACATATGGCCTTGCTGACTGCGGTGCAGCCTCATCCTCCTCGGACTCTTGATCTCCTACCTTCCCCAGCACTACCGCATCATCTCCAGGGGGACATCTGAGGGCATCTCACCCTACTTTGTCCTCCTCGGCACAACTTCCGCAACGGCCGGCTTCGCAAACATCCTCACCGTCCCACCGTCGCGCGCCGCCATCGGCTGCTGCAAGGAGGTGGGGACCTTTGAGTGCGCCGCAGGACTACTTGGCGTCGCCCAACTCGGCGTGCAGTGGCTTTGCTTTACTCTCATGTACGTGCCCAACGCGGTGCCGTGTGCGCAGCCCTTGCTGACCGGCTACCAGCCTCGTCCTCTTCCTCATTTTTTTCCGCTACCGAGAAGCCAATGTGCCCCAGGAAGACTTGGGCGGGGAGTCGCCTCGATGGCAAACAGCCGTCATGGTCGGTCTTTTGTGTGTTCTGCATGGCTTGGCTGTCGTCATTGTGACCGGCGTCTTTGCCATTGCCGTGCCTAGCCACCTGACGGCCTGGGCAAACGTCCTAGGCGTCATGGCCACCGTCCTCGCGGCCATCCAGTACGTGCCTCAGATCTGGACGACGTATCAACTCAAGCACGTTGGGAGCCTCAGCATTCCGATGATGTGCATCCAGACGCCAGGCGGGTTTCTCTTTGCGGCCAGTCTGTATGCGAGGCTGGGGTCGGCCGGCTGGAGCACTTGGGTCATCTACCTGATAACGGCCACTATGCAAGGCACGGTCCTGGCCCTCGGCATCTACTATGAAATTGCAGCACGCCGGCGCGAGGGCTGCGGCGGCGATTTCTCGGCAAGCGTGCCGCGCTCACCAGTGGAACACTCGAGCCTCCCGCGCCGACCCGCCGCGAGCCGGACCTACTCTGAAGGCTGGGAGCGTGGGCTGCCGGGGCCGTTCACAGGGCACCCTGAGCGCTATGCCGAGACGGAAGAGGACCTGGACCACATGCAGGAGCGGGAGGAGCGAGCCATTGCGAGGGAAAACCAACCGCTGCTTCGACCGGGGGGGATAGGCAACCCGCGAAGGAACTACAGCTCAATCCACAGCTGATTTAGTTGGGTGGACGTGGGGAGAATGGAGCCAACGAGGAGTGGTAGAGGAAAGCCTGGTCGGATCATGAAGCGTTGACCGGATATTGTTCATGTGTTACATTAGCATACTATTACTAAACTTGCAAGGTCAGCAGCATCTCCACCACCAACTCGCATACTTGGCGTGCGACCCGAGACACGTCTCTGGGATCTTGTTGGCGGCAGCTAGTGATGTGGAGAATTACGAGCCGAGGCCCCGGACGCGCAGGCCGTCGTGGTCGGCCTCGATGATGGACGGATGGACGGCTCCTCTTCAGCCCCTCTTGACCCCTCTTCGATGCGTGTGCTTGGCGGCCTTGGAAAGGGCAAGGCCTGCTTTACAAAGAGGCCCGGTTTAAGAAGTCAGTCGGTCTCCGAGAAGCCGGACGGGCCCCTCAGTCCCGAGCAGCAGGAGCATGGCCGGCCCAGTCGTCTACTACTCATTAGTTGTATCGCACAGCAGACCGAACCCGTCGAGGCCAGCCAGGCGCCAGAACCGGCCGGAGACAGCTGGCACTGGGCCGGACGATCGAGGCTCTACCGGACGACGACGCCTGCGGACTTGGGCTCTGGTCCGCAGTCAGCAACCCCCGACTGCGCCCTGGTAAGCACATACACACCCCGCGCGCGTCCCGAAGAGGCAGCTTGCTCCGAGCCTAGCGGGAGATCTAATCGCGATGCAAGGCGGGGGAGTCGGGATAAGTGCTTGCATGCCTTCGGTCGTCGGCAGAGCTGGCGTCGTCCCCTTGGCACGTGTAGCTTTGCAGGATAATGCGTTTTGTTTATTCTTCCGAGATGCGACAGTGCGCGGCAAGCAGCGGCTCTATGTATGTGTGCATGCGCGCGACATGTTAGATAAAAACCAATGCCGTGACTCCCTCGCTGCTCAAGCAAGGCCGCCTTCTTGAGACCGAGGTTGCTCCGCTCCTCCGTCCCCCCGCAAAAAAGCCGGTACTTGGACGAGTTCTATTTTCCCCGCATTCTGGCTTGGCTTCCATGATTTGTTCGGCGCACGAGGCTCTAACTTGATTGGGACGCGAGAGCAACCTCACTTCATTCAACTTCTTCAACGTAGGGACCGGACGGGGGGCCTTTAGCCATGAGCTGGGTTTTTCTTGTTATGCGGTTTGTCATTATATCGCCGACTTTGCCGGGCTTCCTCTTGCGCCTGCCTTTTTCGGCTCTTTGTAGACACGGCTCGTTCTTGGAAGCACATGGAGTAAATCTCGACGGCAGGGGGAACAAACAAAGGAGGAGGGAGGGGGGGAAGCAAATTGACAAGTCAGAGACGCGGTGTACCTTGCACAACCTGAGAAAGGTCTTACTGGGGAACATTTCACGGTAGGCCTTGGAAATGGTCAGTAACGACCACCTTGCCCTCCTGCGCCGGATCAGTGGAGGTGTGAGAGAAACAAGAGCAGTCTCGACAGGCCTCGAGGATAAGAGCACAGGTTCGTGCAAATACACGACTGTATGAGGCCGTCAATACCTCCGCCCATCCATCTCTCTCCCTCTTCGTGTGCCTCTCGTCCCCCGCTTCCCGTCCGCACCTACATCCGCGCTCCCCGGGCGGATTCGGCCTGGGCAGCTGGCGTGGAAACGAGCATGGCGGGGGAAGGCCGAGCTCGCGGGCCAATGCCACTCGAGCCGGGGGAGACGGACGACAAAAGGCCCTTCGTATCCAGGATGCATGGTATGGTGGCCGTCCTTCGCCCAGCATGTGATGCTTGGGCACCGCTTGTGCTTTGCATCGCATGAGAGGGAGAAGGGGAGAGAGAAGCCGTTATAAAGCATCCTCCTGTCTCGCTTCTCTCCAGCTTTGAGTCGACTGGGTAGGCTGCTCTCAGATCTGGGTTCCCCGTGAGATTTGTCTCCAAGTCCGCAACGCTCCTATCGTGTCGTGTTAGCTGAGCGGCCAGAAAGGGAAAAGGCGTCGCAGAGAAAAGAACAAGCCAAGCCAATCTTTTCTTTAAACTCCCCTTTTCTTATTGCCCTTCTTGCCCTCATCCCTCTCCACCATGGTTGCTTTCGGACTACGGCTAGTGGCCTCCTTGGCCGTCGCCGCGGCGGCTGCATATGCGGCCCCTCCGCCGGTTGCGGCCCCTCCGACGGTGGCCCCCGCTCCGGCCGCGGCCCCTTTGCCCCCCGGGAAGATGCTCAGCTTGGCGTCTCTCACGCCGCCAAGCAAGGACCCCTTCTACGCCGTGCCAGATGACGTTGAGCAAGCCCTTCCGGGCGCCATCCTGCGACACCGCGCGCCGCCCAACCCCATCGCAGGCTTTGGCATCCTCCCCATCAGCCTCCAGGCCACCCACCAGATCCTCTACCGCACCATCGACAGCCTGGGCAATGCCACGGCCACGGTGCTGACGGTGCTCATCCCCTACAACGCCGACCTGAGCAAGGTCCTGTCGTACCAGGTTGCCGAGGACGCGGCCACCATCGACTGCGCGCCTTCGTATGCCTTTCAGTTTGCGCACGCCACGGGGCCTGACCACGGCACCATTCTCACCGAGGCCGAGCTGCTGCTCGTCGAGGCCGCCCTCGAGCAGGGTTGGGTCGTCATCGCGCCCGACTTTCTCGGGCCCAAGGGTGCCTTTCTGGCCAACGAGCTGGCCGGGCATGCCACGCTCGACGGCGTGCGCGCTGCCATCAACTCGGCCTCCTTTACCGGCATCAGCAACGAGCCGACCGTCACCATGTGGGGATACTCGGGCGGCAGCCTCGCCTCGCTCTGGGCCGCCGAGCTGCAGCCGACGTACGCTCCCGAGCTTAGCATCGCCGGGGCCGCCGTCGGAGGCACCGTCCCCAACATCGCCACTGTCGTGAAAAGCGTCAACAAGAAGGGGTCGGCCGGGCTGATCCCTACCGGCATCCTGGGGCTCGCCAACCAGCATCCAGACCTCGACCAGCTCCTGGAACAGCACGTGCTCCCCCAGTATCGCGCCCAGTTCTACAAGCCCAGGAGCCAGTGCTTCATGGCCAACAACAACCAGTTTGCGAACAAGGACGTGGTCGGCATGCTCGACGACCCCAGCCTCATCTTCAGGCACCCGCTGGCCGTCACGCTCATCGCCAAGAACGCCCTGGGCAGCTCAACGCCCAAGATCCCCATCTTTGTCTACAAGTCGACGGCCGACGAAATCAGCCCCGTCTCGGAGACGGATTCGCTGGTTCGCACGTACTGCGCCGCGGGGGCCTCGGTCGAGTACCAGCGAGACGCCGGTTCGGACCACGGGAGCCTGGCCGTCCTGGCTGCTCCCAAGGCGCTGTCATGGCTAATAGCCACCATGAACGGGCAGCGCCGCACGGGGTGCGTCACGCGGACGGTGCCGTCGTCGCTGCTGGACCCGGCCGCCATCGAACTCCTTCCAAAGATTCTCATCGATGCCCTGCTGAGTCTGCTGGGCAAGCGGGTTGGCCCAATTATTGGGTGAGGGGCACCGGGGAAACATGGCTGGCTGATGAGCATGCTGCTGCCGGGTCAGGAGATGACTCTGGGCGACGTACCGGCGACGCGGCGATTGCTCAGCATGGTGTTTGCACGCCGCGTCCGGGGTCCCTGTCTGATGACTTTTGCCGCGTGGGCCTGGCACCATTGTTGCGCAGTGGGCAGCCATTTCAGGTGTATCTATCTTCGGTTAGATTTCGTAGATTGCAGGCAACAGTGATGGCTTGCAAATCCAAGGCCATGGAGGGTCTGTTGCCAATGACTGGTCGTTACAACTATGAAGGGTGAAACTCCCTGGAATGTCGCTTAATCGTAGGTGACAAACGCGATAGACCCGCCAGGGCTTGCGCTGGCTCGCTGATTGGTGGCCGGCTGACTCCCCACTGAGTCACCACTATGATTCACCCCGTTATCGTCATGGCGTCTCTTGAACCCTCAATCGCCGACTCCATCCTCTCCAGCTCGCCCCATCCCGCTTCTCTCGCACGCCATTTAGCCCTGCTCAGCCGGGGCCGCCGACCTACACTGCCCAACGAAGCTTCGGGTCAGGTCAATTCATCCCTCGGCCACCTTGTTCCCTGTCATCCGTCCGCCTGCTCCTCTCTCAGCCCTCATGGCCATCTACAACGCCGTTCCTCCACCCGAGGAGCTCACCTCCGGCCAGACTCCCGCCGCACAAGCTCCGCCGACTCAGGGTCCCTTTGATGTTGATGCTTGGACCGTCTCGGCACTTCAATCGCTCAGCGTCTCTCCCGTGGCCCGAGGCACAGGTACTCCCCTGGCTATCCCCATCGACCAACACCCGTCCCCGAAGCGGGAGAAGCCAACCGTAACGCTTCCCGATGCGGATGGTCACGAGTCGCCTCGTCGGCCGCCTTCTCGGCGTGACAGCCAGCGCAGGCGCGAATCTGTCCTGAAAGGCAGCGAAGGCAGTCGGCAGCGCCGACGTTGGGAAAACGGTACGCAACCGGCTCAGGACACTGCTGCAATGAGCGGCTGCCTCGATTTCTAACAGCGCGACTCCCTGAGTCACTGGTAGACCACCTCGTTGGCGTCCCCAACGTCCAACCCCCCCTTCCGTCCGACTGGGAGGTCAGGCCTACTCACCCGATCCACCACACTCCGTATCAGCTCGCCCAGTTCTGGGACCGCGGCATCCGGCAACGCGTCGAGGACAAGGCCGCGGCGCTGCAGGCTACGCGCAAGAGGCAGCAGCGCAAGGCCGGTAGCGCCACGGGACTTGGCGTCGGCGAAGTGCCCCGCGACCTCCGCGAGTTGGCCAGGCGCAGCCCGACCATCCGGAGCTGGGTCCGCGCCCTCGAGGAGCCGGTGCGCCAGTACCTCGTCGGCGAGCAGACCAGCTCAAGGCCCCCGGCGGAGTTGGCAGATGACAGCGCCGCCGACGAGATGGATTCCGAGGACGAGGAAATTGTCTTTGTGGGCCGGAGCGGCGCCATGAGGGAACTCAATGAAAGGCGGCAGGCCGGCTACAAAAGAGCCAGGCGCGAGATTGAGCAGGAGACAGTCGATTCGGGCGTCGTCTTTGACTCCTTTGGCGAGGGCGAGAGCGCCGCCTTCAAGTGCGATTCTCTGTCCGAGTTTGCGGTGCAAACAAGGTGCGCTGACGAGGTGATGCAGGCGCTGGCTTGCCCATTCCATTTCCGACTACTACGGCCTCGCCTCTCGCTCAGTTACTCTCGCCAACCCCGCTTGTCGAGTTGTATACGTCGGACTCAGACAAGCCCATCAACGAGCGGCTCCACCCCTCATAAAGCTGCCCCAGCCTCTGTGGGAGATCTGCTGAGCTCGGCCAAGGTACGGTTTTGAGCAGTACTTGAACTAGCGTGTGGGTGTGGTTGCCATCGTCAAGAAATTTAGACCGGGCGCCTCGCTGCTTGCGACGTGATTGTCTTGATACAGGCGTCTCTGGATAAGGCCTAAGCAGACGCAGGAACCAGGCCTGCTAGTGTAAATATGACGGCAAATATATGTGGAACATGTCATATATAATCTTTGAAATGGGCGGCTTGAATAATACGGATACTCCCAAGATCCTGCACTGGCTTACCACAAGTCTCATGCCACTTGAATCAAGCCCAACCTCGATCCAACACCTCGCAACAGTTGACCAGAGCCCGCTCTCCCCCAACGAGCTGTGCATACTTGGAAACCTTGGTACGCGTCGGCATGGCTAGAAACTGCGCCAGGCCCGCATGGCCGAACTCATCCACGAGCGTCCCGGACAGCACCTGGGCTGCAAAGACGTTCAGACCAGCTCGTCGCAGGAATAAATCCCACGACGTTTCCGCAGACGTCACGAGGTGGCCCAACGCGGCGGATTGTGAGCTCTGACGACACAACAGGGACAAGATCCATTCCGAAAGTGTCCTGTCGGCGCCGGGGACAAGACAAGTCACGACTTCGGCGTCCAGAGAGGCGGCGAAACGGACAAAGTCGGCATAGGCGGCCATGTCGGACGAGCTGTGGTTGCTACTGAATTCTCCCGCCTGATTGGATTCTGAGACGAGAACAATGAGCGACTGGTATTTTCGGCTGGTCTGCTGAACACGCTCACGGAGGGGAGTCTGGGTGCTTGATCCAGGGAGCGGCTTTTGCTTCGCTTTCACGAGCGTCGTTACAATGACCCCAGTGCTTGGGGACATGGAGATGTCCGCCTCGAAGCTGACGGGCAAGACAAGCTTACTTGAAAGCCCAGTCCCCGAGGGCCAAGGCTGTATGTCGTGTTGAGAGTAGTCTCTGTCGAATATCAAATGGCTTGGCCAAGACTTCTCCAGGTGTCGAAGGACTGGGCGGTCCAGAGTCAGCGAAACAATGCACGGCCCTTTTTTCTCGGGGATCTCATAATGAGGGGTTGGAGCCGGCCTCGAAGTTTGCGCAGTGTCGAGGGGCGCCGGCAGCTGATTATTGACAGATGAGGATAAGGACTCAAGGGACTTTGTTGTTATTTTGCCTGGTGGAAGGTCGTTAGAAAACCCCAATCGAGGCCGCTTGGCAGCACGCAGCTCCATGAACCCCGATAACAGGGTGGTAGTAGCACTCGAGTCCGTCGAAAGCGGTAATAAAGTATTGCCATCGTCAACCCTCTTGAAACGAGAGGATTGACAAAAACCTTGAGGCTTTTTTAAACTCGTTGGTAATGGCTCGCGCTCTTCTTTGTCTTGGGACAGGTGTGCATGGACGCTGGCAGCGTCGATGTGACCCAGAAGACGTCCATGGGTTCCCGAGTCGTCGACATAGGGCTCTTCAATATCCACGTCCTCTATGAGATCCAGAATCATCAAAGCCTGGGGGAGAGAAGCATATTTTGCACTCTGTGGCGAGAATAGCAAACTTTCGTCAATGAGAAACTCTCTGCTCCCCTTGACAGGGTCCAGCTCATCCATTGATAGTACGGCAATGTTTCCGCCATAGACTGGCGTCCACTTGAGTGAGCCGTCTAGTCGTACATCTTTAGGGAGTAGCTGTAATTGGATTGCCATTGTCGAGTCCGCTTGCAACCGCGAAAAGTGTTCCCTGCCACTCCAAGCTTGGTGGATCCAGCTTGGCTGTGGGATGTGAAAGTCCATGACTGGAACAGGAACTCGTGCAATTGAGTCAATAGGGTTCAGCTGTTCTTGCTCGACGAGTCCTGTCAGGTCAAATCCTTCATCGTCCAGGAGAGCTGTTACCGTGCCCCCGTCGAAACACTCATCACTCTCTGCGAAGTCCAGCGACGCAGTGCCCTGAACGATACCAGGCAAGTCTATGTCTTGGATTGGATCCGAGTCTGTAAGAACAAGAGGCACATCTAGGGCGACGTCTTGAGTCACCGAGTGTCTGAAGGTCGCTTCTTGGTCGAACCTCGAGGGAGACGGGATAGCCGTCGAAGATGACGCAACAGTGTCTGTGCCAGCGAGGAAACCTTTCACAGGGGTGTCGGCTTCATAACTGTTGCGGACGGAAGGAGTTGATGGCTCGGAAGTCAGGTCGATAACGGCAGCTTCAAGCCCAGGGACAAAGGGCAGGTCAGGCTCGGAGACTGGGGATATCGGCGGCGTGACAACCTCGGCATGGCGTCTACGAAACTGCGCGGGTCAGTGAAGGAACTTTATTGCCAATTGGCAAGTGAGGGCATACCAAACCAGGAAATGCTGCAGCAAGTGAGGAGTAGCGGCTCTCTCCAGCCCTCCGGTGACTGCTGACGTCAATGTCTCCATGCTGTTGAGGCTTTTCTGGCGGCGCGACTCTTTCCAGTTCCAGTTCTCGGTGCAGCAAAGAATGCAGCTTGGAAGACTGGAAGGGGAAGGCCAGCCCTTCGTCCCGCTCTGGCTCGACTGGGGTCAGAGGAAGCCAGGTAGTGGAGAAATGGCAATGTTGCTTGGCAGAGGCATCTTTGAAAACTTGTTGCACGTCTAGATCAGGTACTGATCCGAGGTCCAACTCGTCAACGGACAAGAATAGATCCTTTGCGGGTGCTAGACGTGGTCGCAGTGATGGTTCTCCTGACGAGAAGAGTGGAGAGCTGTATGGATGACGAGGAATCTCCTCGCGTGAGTCGACCAAGGTCTCGAGAGGAGCTGATGGCCAAGGAATCGAGCATCGTCCTAGATCAGGCTGCTCGACAAAGCCGTCAGACGCAGTCTCGAGGGCAGAATCGCGGATCAAGGACACATGGTTTGTGAACGGGAACGGTGGTCGACGATGGTCTCGGAAGCAGCCCGAACGGCGTCCATATTCATCAGCGGTTTCTGGGCGCTCGCAGGCTTCCATTTTCAAGGGCCATGAGGTTGCGGCGAGGTTCACGGTCGCGGATGGCGGAAGGAAATTGTGCCACGTGACAGATACGGCCGCGTCGACTCTCGAGTCGGAGCCCTGCTGCGGAAAGAGCCACGAGGAGCCACTCGACATCTGCCGGGCTCCGAGCCTAGAAGCAGGGGCTCCAATCAAATTTGGAAGAGGGTGGAAACCCGATAGTTAAAGATGGCTAAAATGTCAACGACGTCCACCCGATACTGGGTGAGAGTTGATAGTAACTGCAGTGTCGAAAACATAGTGTCGTTCACGTCTGCAACCTGTGGATAGTACAGATTCGATGATGGAGTTACGCATGTGTTATAGAGGACAGACGAGGGCTCAGACGGACAGGATACTTTTACGAGGCGAGGTCCTGGTTTGTACTTACTATGCCGCTCTCCTCTTTCTCATGTCAACCGCCTGCAAGACCGGCCTAAGACCCGCGCTGCACGACAATTGTATAACTACCATCCTCCACAAACTGGCTAAAACAATTTCTTCTATTCAATTGATCGCGGTGCCTGTCAAATACATATAAACTACTCTTCTTGCATTTTACCACCATCCGCTCCACAGGCGACGGATCTGATGGGCCTTCGTCAGAGCGTGACATGTACCGTACCCGGTTCTCTCGACCGACGACGAAATGACAGGAGGATAAAGCATCTTAGCAAGATAAAGCAGATTGCCGTGTCAATAACTTCGCTAGCTGACGGTGGTCTCAGTACTGGTGTTTTGGCTAAAATTGACGCCTCGTCGCCCTGCCACCGGCGCCCTCCATCTGTTCAGTTTCCTCACCTGATGTGACGCTCTAATTCCATTCGAAACAGACGGCCTTTGCCTGACTAAACCTGACCACGGTGAAAGAAACCACGGAGAAGGACCAATGGAAACACGAGAAAAGGCTCTAAAATCTGCTTTACTTCAAATAAAAAGCATATCGCGCCATTACTCGAATAGCCTCTAACGACTACTTCCATCTCGCCTGCCTTGCCTTTGTACCCGCCTGTGCTCCCGGAAGCAAGATTTTCGCTGCTGTTATACCGCCTGGGTGTCTCTGCCCACCTTCTAGACGTCCACCTCAGATTTATCGCGACACGGAAGCCTCCATCCTTCCTTTGCCAGACGCTGGTGCATGCCCTTGCTGATACTTGACTCTAGGAAACAGTGACGAAAATCAGTGTCATCGGCGGACTGAACGAGGACCATCCAATCCTCCACATGTGAGGAGAGGGGCTGAAATGATGCAATATACGACTCACGATCATTGCGGAGAAGAGCGCCTGGGAGTGAAGCAAAGACGCTGGAGGCGAAGAAATCGAGGGAATCCAGCCGCCATTTGGATGGGCATCTTGTCGGCAAACCCCCAGTCAATAATGCCGAGAGAAATCAGTGATGTTTCCATAGCAGCTTCCAGTGTCAGCTTACCTAGTAACGTTATGGTTTGAGTCGACGAGGAATTTTTTTTATATCATTACTCGCATGCAGCCTCTAGGGCCATGGCGAGGCTAGTAGGGGCCTAGGCCCCTATTAGCAGTCGTAGCTAGCTATAGAGCCTAGGGGCTTATAACTAATTAGGGAAAGGGTGGCTATAAAGGCAATTATAAAGGAAAGGTTAGTCTAGTCCCTCCCGCGCGGTATTTTTCCCCCCTAAGGGCCCTAGGGCCCCTAGGTTACTCCTTTTCGAGCTACTTAGCTGTCCCTATCTCTATTTTAGCTAAGAAGGTTAAAAGGGCTTCCCTTCCTTCCTTAGAGCTATAGAGAATAGGTAGGCTAAGGGCCCCCTTCTATCTCTTAGAGGTCTAGTAAAGGACCTCTCTTTCCCTCCTATAGTTTAGGCACCTTAGGATAAGGTGCTTAGCTATATACCTTCCTTAGCCGTAGCGGTAGTCGTCTCGGTCTACCTTATTAGTCCTTTTTAAGAAAGAAAATAGGAAGCTAGCCTTAATAAAGAGCTAGTAAAAGACTAAGAAGGTTAGCTTAGGCCTCCCTATAAAGTCCTTTTCTAGGCTAAGGGCTAAGTAGGGGGTCTTTTAAATAAATATATAGTACTTACCTAGGCCCTTAGCCCTAGGGCCTTTAGCCGCCTTAGTAGCTTAAAGGCCTTTCTAATAATCCTTAGTAGCTTACTAGACCTTTCTTTATAAGTAGCTAATAGAGACTATATAGGTCCCTTAAGTAGGGGCCCCTAAGCTTTTTTTAGCTAGCTAGTTAGCTAGCTTATTACTAAAGATCCTTAGGTATCTAAGGCACTAGTATAGCTATATATTATAGAAGGCTAATCTAAATAAGAGCCTTTTAATATATATAGCTAGGTCTAAGAAACCTATAACCTTCCTTATAGCGGCTTAGCTATCTATAAAGATATAGGTATCTATAAGGGGGTTAAGGGGGCTAAGCCTTAAGGGCTAAGGCTTCTTAGCTAGGTCCTCTAAGACCCTTAGTATTATAAATAGCTTTATATTAGCTACTTTATATAACGACCGGTATTATTCCTAAGAGATAAACCTATCTAAAGGTTTATATTAATAGATATAATAAGGCGTATTCTAAGTAATAATAAGTATATTATATTAGTAATAAGTTAAAGGTTATAGACTATAGATTATAACTAGGTAATTAAGTAATTAAAATTAAAGATAAGATCGTAATAGAGATTATAATAATTATAATATATTAAAAGCTATCGAGCTATCTATTTAAAGGAGTATTCCGTTCCTTCCTTATATATCTCGAGAGCTTCCCTAGATCGCCGAGAGTACTAGGTAATCCCGTTGCCTAGGAGCGCTAGGGCGCTAAAGCGATCCTACGATCCTAGCCGTAGAGCGTTAGAGCGCTAGAGTAACCCGTCGATTTAAACTTAATTAGC